TAAATAAATCAATTGTGTTTAATCAGAGCGTAGTTTTGTCTTTTAGCTATAATTTGTTATATATATTATGTCTACATATAGTGTGTCAAGTGTATCTTGTTTCTATGGCTCTTCCTCGTTTTATCGTATATTTTAAACAGATATAACGTCTCCAATCACCAAAATTAATTGATTTTTTAGTCCTATTCAGATACAAGTTGTAGCAGACGTGCACGAGCAACATACACAAGAGCAGTCACAAAAACATGCTATAATGCGAAAAGTAAACGAAAAAACGATTTCGTGCTAGAAAAGGAGCATTAAGTAATAGATCAACACAAAGTAGCTTTCATCAACTGAACGTCAAAGATTATACAAAGCAAATAAGAAATTACGACAAAAAAATACAGAAACTCAAGACGAAGAGTTTACACAAACCCAAGAAGAGCAATATGTACAACATCTCGTTAAAGAATGTTAAATGTTGTAAATAGAAAAGATATTTTACATTCAAAAGGAAATTAATTTAAATTTTACTTATTCCTGACCCATTTATAAATTATTAGACTAACAAGAATATTAAAATTATAAAATAAAATTATTATTGCAATCATGCGTTAAACAAGTTCAATATTTTATGGTTGCTATTAATTTATGAAGTTATCACTTCTGTCGAGCGTTCCGTGACGCACACCATTTTTTTTAATTTAAATTTTATTACCCCGTAGATCGGAAACTAAGCGTTTTCGGAACACGGTATATTAACGAAATATATCCGAAATTACTCCAAAAAATCTACTTACACTCTATATATTCAAACACCAACGGATAATGCCAAGTAATTGTTGGCCGACAATAGTAAGGACGCAAACCCTGGCACCCAGAAGACGTGAGCACTGCAAGCCAACCATAGATGGCGCTGAACGTTGCTTCCACATTATGTCTCAGATTGGGCTATCTATACTTTCATGTACCTATCGCTGTCACACTTGTCAAAGCACAGCTGATTTCCAGGTGATCGAATTGTAAACAGAAATTTGTTGTATTTTGTTTTTTCCACAACTTCGATGTTTAATTTTTTACAGAATGACAACTCAAGAAAAGTTGCAAAAATCATTAGACGTGCTAATGGCATTAACAACCATTCAACCTCCTGAACAAGCAAAGTATGTTAAACAGATAATACTCAAACTGTATTCAAAATGGTAATATGTTTTAGGAAAAAAGAGAAAATTCACCATTGCTATGTTATATCAGAGGCATGCTCGAACCCCACAATAAAAGTGTCGAAAAGCTTCCCTATGTTGCTTGGAGTATCCATTGAAATTTTTTTAAAGTTGTGCGATGATACTGACGCCGACGTGAGAATGACTAGTGATGAATGTTTAAATAGGATTATGCAAGTAAGTGTATTCGTTTTTCTACTACTATTTATATATTAGCTATCGAAGTGATTCAGACAGCGTCAGCGGGAGCAAGATAACTTGACTTAAGTGTCGATTCCACTTAGCACACCTAAGTTATTCCACCAAACATGATTGCGTTCTGTCTGGCTATACTGGATCTAAACTCAGAAACGCTGTTAAATTTCTACTATGGTAATTAGCTAATTTATTCTTTCTGTTTTTCTGTACAGAGCGTCCGGCCAGGTATTCGAGATTCTTATGCGTAGGTACATAAATCCTTTGACTGATTTTCATCAAAATGCTTTGCTCTGTACCATCATGCATAAATCAATCCTCTGTCCCTCTTGATCCTGGTTGTATTATTTAATATTATTTTTCAACTCATTAAACGCTCCGTGAAATTTGCCGAATTGGTGCCTGTAATTAGGTTTTCCCGTTCTACACATAAGTTCACAAAATGTTTTCATTTGTGGCCTAGAGGTGGGCGATTCGAATTTTTTTAGTGATTCATACCACATAGATTCGTATCAGGAGATTCGTTCATTTCGTATCGATTGAATCGGCCGACGCCGCCAGCATTTGCTTCGTGTTAGGTACCGGTACCGATTCCCTTTGCCATACTCTCATTACTCTCAAGAAGTCAATCCTGTCTCGAGTGCATCAGTCTGTAGCCCAGATGTCATACATTTGCATCGTCTCGCACTATTCATAGTTCGTAACTCGTAAAATATGGCTACCTAAATGTTTATTGATTTTCATTGAATAAACAAACGTTAAAACAGTTGTTGAGGGGATATTCTCTAAAGGAGGTCTAATGATTTATGAAAAACGCTCAAGATTAAGTGCAAATAAAGTGTCATAACTATTATTCATCAATTTTAATGCGAAACATGTGGACATGAAATTATATTGATATATTCTATTATTTGTTGTTAGTTTAGCTGTTAGTTATACAGGGTGAGTTTTTTTGGATGATTAGTACAGGGATAGCAGCAGATACGAAGAAGGTTATATGGACAAAGAATTGTGGTTTTTGCTGTTCTCAAAACTACTTTTCTTTGTTCAAAATTGTCAGGTGTCAAGTGATATTTGAAGTAAACTAATTTATGACAGATTTTTAAATATCTCCTAGTTCAGTCAGTATTACTCTGACAGAAACACATTAAATAGAATAGTTTTAGGAAATTGCATTCTAAATAAAATGACATAAGACGGTTTTACAAATTAACTCTCATTTTTGACATATGACATAAACTTTTGTTTTTTTAAATGGAACATATTTGATTATGCCTTTATTAAATAAAGCATGTTATTACGAGTTCAGTGATATATCCTATCGTTAGGTTTTTCCGAAAACGAAATGTAAGCGAATGCTTTTTACTTTTTTAATATAGTTGATATAAATTAGTCATGGAAAATAATATAAGGCAAACAGCAGTGTTTCCATAGTAACAAATAATAACCACATCTTTTAATTATCTGACATTGTGTTTATTATAAAAATCAAAACATACTAATAATAATTAAAATTGACCGCTAGAAACTAGAATTTTTATGGCAAAATATTTTCAAAAAGTCCACCATTATTATCAATGCAAACATTGCAGCGCTTTAAAACTGAATAAGTTGCTTTTCGAACTGCCCGACCATCAATATTTTCAAATGTTCTAACAACGGCTTCTTTTAAGTTCATTTAAATTGTCATATTTATTTTTATAAACTGGGATTTTTACGTCTCCCGCACAAAAAAAATGATGGTGATTGAGGTGGCCATAAAATAGTACCGATTCTTCCAATCCAAGCGGCAGAGAATTCTTCGTCCAGATGATTCTGCACTTGGGCAACGTTACGCGGACGGGCTCCATCATGTTGAAACCATTGCACATTACGTCCTGTTTCTAAATCTAAGTCGTCCAATATAATATCCAGATCATTCCAAAGGTTGAAGATTGAAGACGGTTGAAGAAGCCGGCTTCCATTTAAGGTGTCTTCAAAAATAAATGGACCAATAATTTTTGAACCCACCATTTCTTTGTTCAAAGTGGTGAGGATTTGTTTGAGTTCAAATATATTCATTGTGTCGATTAAACAAATCACGATTCATACTGATAATTTATACGCATGAAATTTGTGTTTTTTTAACTCTCATCACGGTGCTTTGGGAAGTCCCGGATTCAGAGATTTCAACCAGAGAGGTTGATGCCGCTCTCTGGTTGAAATCTGTGGATTCTGGATTACAGTTGGAGGATTTCTTGGCGATGTAACACTTCCCTAAGTGCACAAATTGTCGGATAATTTTTTGCATTTTTTCAAGGACAGCCAGCGACGGTTAAAATACATCTCAAAATAGTAATCAGAGGCTCGTCCAGGATTTTGATTACATCTAATGTAGGGTTCAATAATGTCGCGCTTGTCTTGATTGGAATAATTCATATTTTTAATAACTAACTAACTTATATTTCTAAGTTAGTCTCTAAGTCTAATAGTATTCAGAGGCACGTCTTTTTATCACATCTAATGTAGGTTTTAACCATGCCCCGCGTGTCTTGGTCTTGTCGTCGATTGAAATAATTCATTTTTCCAATAAAACTATCTTAGATTTCTAAGTTGAATTTAAACTTGAATGTCAAAAATTGAAAGATGTTGTTATTATTTGTTGCTATGGAAACAATGCTGTATGTCTTATACTATGTTTCATGACTAACTTAATCAAATTAAGGCATAATCAAATATGGTTTCCATAAAAAAAACTCAAGTTTGTGTCATGTTAAAAATTACAGTTAATTTATGGAAATGTCTCATGCCATTTTCTTTGGAATGCAATTTTCTACAAATTTTCGGTTACAGTTACGGTACACCATAATCGGTTGGTGCAAGTCTAAAGATAGTATTTTCGAAATGACGGCACTTCTGGAATTACCGGAACTCGACGCCATCTTCGGTTTTTAAATGGAAAGTTCTCATTTTGATTTCATATTTTTCATTTAGCTTCAGAATGTCTATATGTTAACACTTATCTGTCACTTTTTTGTCTTTGACTTATGCCATTTTTTGCAAAAAAACGGTAGCAGAGGTTCATTAACAAATTCATACTTCCTCAACCATTGCAAATAATTAAGTCGGCATTATTTAATTCAATTCCCAAAGGTTTGGCAGACATTCTGCAACGATTCTGACACTTTTGTTATGTTTCATGCTTCTGCTGCGATTTCGATGCGATTTGCGAAATGGCAACTACTATTTCTGACGCCAAATAAAAAGTTAAATTGAATTTTAAGTCCACTTTTATTAACATTGTGTACGTTCATCTAAAGTCGTTTATTGAGTTATTGGCCCTTTTTTGAAGAAATATTACTGTTTTCGTACTGTAAGTGGTCGGCTATAGTAATCCGTAAATTTGAATTTTTTATCAGAAACCGTAATGCAGGCATTTTCTTATTGTTAACTTTGAAACACCGCAGCAGACACACGGATAACAGAAGTGCCAGAATCAATGCAAAATGTCGGTCAACCTTTGAAAATTAAATAAAAAAATAGGAATGGTTCAGAAGTTATGATTTTTCAAATAACAATTTTTTTGCAATAAATGTGACATCGTCAAAAACTATGACAGATAAGTGTTGACCAATGGACATTTTAAATTCAAAATTTAATACTGAATACAAATATGAAATCAAAATAGGGACTTTCCATTTAAAAAAGCCAAGATATCGTCGATTTTCGATGTTTCCGGAAGCGTAGCCATTTTGAAAAAAACTATATTTAGACTTGCAGCAGACTTGCCGCAGCCGATTATGTCTGACTACCAATTTTCATTTCATTCCAAAAAACCTGTTTTTTGTATGCTTATTAATAAATAATACACATACACATAAACATACACATTTAGTTAGGGTTTAGGGATCCGTTAAAAATTTAGTTCTTTAAAAGGGTTCCGTCGCCAAAAAAGTTTGATAACCGCTGGAGTAGAGAATTCAAAACTACAATTCTTTGTCCATTTAACATTCGTTGTTAAAAACTCACCCTGTATATTTTTAATTTAATCGTAAAACTATTTGAGTTTATCTCGGTTATTGAGGTCTGTTATTTCCTTGCCGATCAATTATCATTATTTTGGATTTTGTTCTGTTTATCTGCAGGCTTCTTCGTTGCTTGTTTCTTTGGCTTCCAAAGTGGAAAATTTAATTATTTCAAATTAGAATTCGTTCATTGCAATGGAATTATAGCTATCGGATTATTCGATAATTAGAAAACACTGCTATCAAATAATTCAAATGAATTAAATTTTAAATTGCAACTATTGAATAATTCGATAGTTCCCATCACTAATTAAAATGCATCGTATCATTCCTTCGCTATTTAAAAAAATAATTGATCATGTGCTTTTGAGACACCCTGTATGGTTGGACAGACACCCTGTATGGTATTGGTTAATTTTTTCAGGCTCATACATACTTCTGACGTTCCATGTACCGATCGATATGTATTGTATGAGTGGTTGTGTTTTTGAATGTATTTTTGACACAGGGGTTTCTCCGGATGAAGACCTGAGAGCCCCTGTTGTCTTGAGATATGCCTCTCTTGCCAGATCTTGGTTTCCGTCCATGGTCAGTACTAGAAATCAGTTCGTTTTGCACATCCATGATAATTGTACTAGATATATCTATTACATACCTACCTAGAATATATTTATAACTGTTGTAACTGTATAATTAAGTAAAACTAATTATTTGAAAATCGCAAGTAAAATATTTGATTCTAATCTAATACTGTACTTCCATTTGTAGGCAGCCATTGACGGACATTTAGGAACTATTCAAGCAGCTTTACACAAGGAGATTAAGAAAAATGGATCCTCTAAATCTCTTAGAGCTGCATTGATGAGGTTTTCTGAATTATCACACCACATTAGACCGCATATAGGCAAAGTTTATGTGGCAAAACTGTTCCCTAGCCTTATTAGAATTACTGAGAGAGCCGAAGAAGCAGTCCATGAAACTTTGGCCACAAACTTTCCAAAACTTTTAAAATCACTTGGAGTTTTTTCACCTGATAACGAAATCAAGGTAAGAATATATTCAGGGTGATTAAAAATTGGCGTCATTCCTTTTAAGAGGTTATAGGATTTCACTTGGAGAGTACGAGAAAAATATTGAAACATTTTTTTTTCAAGATTTCTAAAATATCCTACAGCAAAAAATCGAATTTCAACTATTTTAATAAGCATTTCTGCCTGGATAGCGTTTAACAGTTTAAAATTTAAATTTTCAAAAATGTTAAAATTAAAATGATATATTTCATGTTGATGACATTGCTGAAAATTATGTCGTGATTTAATTACATAGAAAAACCAATCTTCGCGCTTCCAAGCAACGAAAAGAGTATAAAATAGACTTGCAAGTAAATATAGATGGAATATTTGTACTACTGTAAAATTGTTTTCTGCGATAAATTGTACTTATTTTACTTATTTTTTTATTATTTGCAGGCTTTACTTGAATCCTTTTTGCAAAATATAGTAAAACCATCTGCAACCATTAGAAGAACATCATCAAATTGCATCTTGTCAATATGTGTTAATTCCAGGCGACCCCATTACTTTTTTACGTACTGCCTTAACTATCTGCTGGGTAAGCAATAGATAATTTATATATGCAATTATATTCAGGTTTATTACTACTAACGAACACCAAATCTGTTATTAATGTTATTAATATGTTAATAATATGATTAATTGAAAGAGAATATTTGTTTTTAGATATTTTAACACCACTAGACATTAACCAATCCGCCTGGGCGATATTAGGGGTTCTTTACTGTTTAAAAGTTTTATTAGCGGAGCTTAAGAACGTCGATGGAAATGGGTCTTCAACAGAATTTCAATCAATTGATCATATACCAGTAAATAAACTTTTGGGGGTAAGTAAGTAGAGTGAAATTGGTCTCAGTTTTTACAGGGACTTTCGAATAGAACCAGAAATACATGATGATTCCAAATTGGGGTCATTTCCTTTTAGGGCTTATAGGGACTCACAGGGAGAGTACGAGAAAAATATTGAAAATATATTTTTCGAAATTTTCTAGAAGATATTAGCAGTTGAAAGTCGAACTTTTCTAATTAAGTGTTATTTTGAAATGGTCTCATGTTTGATCGGTAGCCGATTAGAGTACTTAAGCATTCTACAACTTTTTGATGAAAATTTAAAGCAGCAATGATGGTTTTTGTCATTAACAGGTAGTTACAATAGTAGATAGATTTTGTCAAGAATAACAAGCATTTTTCAAATTGGGATTTAAAGCTCGTTCACACGGCGTGTTTAATGTCATGATGTGAATTTCATTGTCTGAACAGTCGAACGTCACAGTGTCACGACGTTCGTGTCACATTTCAAAATTGTTTGATATGCTACGCCGTGACAACCAACAATGACACCTTTCTCTTGGTTGTCACGGTGTCGTATATTCTCTATATGAACATGTATTGGAGATAATTGCAACGGGGTCTTCCAGGAGTAGTCGGGACATTGCACAACTGACACTTTCCAGGGAAGACGTCTTTTTGGCGAATTTTTCGAACGGCGTTGGATTACATCCATGCAAAATCGTTTTCACCCAAGAACTCAAACCAACTGATCATTTAAAGAGACGTGAATTCGGTAATTGGTGCTTAGAAAAAATCTCAAATCAAAAAAATCACGAAAAATTTCGTTTTTTGCAAAAAGTAAAAAAGCCCAAACCTAAGAAGTCCCCCTCGCCAAATCTTTCTATCTCCCAGGAAGAACGGGACTTGTTAAAACTATTTGAGAAATAGCTGTGGGCTTAGGATTTCCCTTGGCCGATCTATTTTTTGAGAAGAACTTTAAGCTATGACAACCAACGGACACTCAGTTAAGGGCTTTGCTGAATATGGCCAGACTCCGCCACCCCACCGATGGTGAGAACACCATGCCAGAGGCCGATCGATGAACAATTTAACGACGAAATAGCGGTCCCGTCTCCACCGCTTTCGGTAACCAATGCTTGGGATTCAAAGAGACCACGCGGCGCGTCACTATATCTATAAGCTGGTCTTCATTTCCTGAGAAATAGATTGTACCTGTCGGTTGTATCCGTTTTACCACGAGTACACGGTTCCGTGTTAGTAGAATGATGTTTAAACAAATAAACAACTCTTGTTTGCCCGGTGAATGAAACTATATTGATCAAAATTGTTTAATTCTCGATTGGGCGTTCTTTCGGCGTCAGTGCCACCACCAACCGCTCACTTATATTAGGCCCCGCTATCTATACATTTATGATGTGTAATATAGAGATGATATATGTAGAGACCTACATATGCATAGCTCTGACAATACCGTTGATACTATACGTGTACTTCTCAACAGAAGTTGCCTGCACCCAATCACCTTGAATCGCTGATGCCCAAGATGTCGATGTTTAATCTTTGCATCTCCTGTATGACGTGGTTCATTTTTTCAGGCTCATACATACTTCTGACATTCCATGTACCGATCGATATGCATTGTATGAGTGGTTGTGTTTTTGAATGTATTTTCGACACAGGGGTTTCTCCGGATGAAGACCTGAGAGCCCCTGTTGTCTTGAGATATGCCTCTCTTGCCAGATCTTGGTTTCCGTCCATGGTCAGTACTAGAAATCAGTTCGTTTTGCACATCCATGATAATTGTACTAGATATATCTATTAGGATATTTAATGCTTCTTCTTGCCTTCTGCATCCTTATGCCGTTGAACATTTCTTGGTAACTCCGACTTCGAGACCGGTTTCTCAGTCTCAGGACAAAATATTGCCCTTTCCACTTACCAGCTCATCCGCCCGAAGCCGTTGGCCAGTTAGTGAGGGATTGCTTATACAGGCAATCAGTCAGTTCCTATCTGCGTTAGTCATGAAAATGACAATGCCGCTCCTTCTAGCGTTGACGAGCAGATTCGGAGTTTTTCTTCATCGAGATTAAGACCTTTCGGCATTTTCTAATCTCTCTAGAGCTTTAGAAGACGAGCAGGTGCTAATTAAACGAATATGAGAAGCTTCTCCTCAAAATGTGAGCCCAGAATGCTGCGAAGAGTGCACGATAAAGTTATTACACTGGCACAAACATAAGGAGTTAAAAGAGCAGAAGTTCGAACAACTCTTATGAGTTCACATTTCAAAACGGTTCTTTTCAAGCCTACAGATTCATATTTGGTTTCAGTGCCAATCAGCACAATGTTTAACCTAACCTTAGGTTTTAACCTAACCTAACCTTATTTTTAACATTCGTTACGACGCACCACGTTAACTTATTTCACTGCATGTCAACCTCACCTTTTGTGTTTGTCTATGGTTACTTTAGCTTTTGATATTTACGAAGCAACAGGTATTTACGTAATCTTAATGAGGCAGATTATCTTCAAAAACATTGCTGCTGTATTTCAGATTAATTTTTTGGTTATATCTCAGTTTTTGATAAGAATTAGTTTTTAAATTATTTTTTCCTTACTCCCTAAACACCCCCAGAGGAATGACGCCAATTTTGAATCTCCCTGTATATACAAATAAAATGTGAACTGAAGATTACTTTTAATTCAAAATCAATTCCTGGGCTTCACTCATTTATTGTCTATTTATCAATTAAAATACGTTTCGGTGTTTTCCACCATCATCAGTTTCTATGTGTTGCGTTGTTGCTACTTTAAGCCTTGGCATATGTTTTGGCATATAGAAAACATAGGCCAAGGCTTAAAGTAGCAACAACGCTACACATAGAAACTGATGATGGTGGAAAACACCGAAACGTATTTTAATTGATAAATAGACAATAAATGACTGAAGCCCAGGAATTGATTTTGATTTGGAATTGAAACACAGTCAGGAAAGTATGTACAATTACTTTTAATTAATACTAACCTTACTTCATGGGACATTCTGTATACCAAGAGAACCACTGAAACAAATGTCACTCGACCACTTATTTCATTAGGAAAAGTAAACGAAAATGGCGTCGAAGATTGTCACTTTTTGAAAATGACATTTTAAGCAGTCATTTTTATGTCAAAAGATGAATAATTTGATCTTTTTTAAGCATTCCAAATTTTGCGACAGTAGCTATAAAGGACAGAGGTCTCATTATTTACGTGCACTGTATACTTCTTATTTAAATAAGTTTTGCGACGTTAGTAATGGTCACATTCAGGTCATAAATTGGTGTCATACTGAAACCCTTGCCTTTCATCAGTAGTTTAGACATATTTGATTGAGTGCTTGAGTGCATTGATGAGCGCGCATGTGTTCCTTTAAATAGGCCTGGGTAACTCAGTGAATTTTTAGGAGTTGGCGCAATGCTGCGCAAATGGCTTGTTGCGCCAACCCAACACAGCGGCTCAGTAACTCAGTTGCGTTGCTGGGAAAATGTTGACTTTTTTGATGAAAAAAAAAACTTTTTTTTAGTTGGTTTTAGATTTATTTTAAGGGCCATTTGCTAATAATATTTTCAGTTTCTTCAAAATTTCAGAATATTCCAGTTTTAGCAAAGTTACTCTTTCTTGTAAACGCTCAATTATCTAAAGTTTCACTTAAAAATACTGACAATCTTAAGATATTTTCTGCAAAAAAAATTAAATCAATTTTATTAGAACACTCGCCTCCTTCGTCGCTTTGAAAAAGTTTGAAAATTCCTTACCAGCTTCGAATTCGGGGCAAAAATCAAATAATTTTTTTATCAAAAATCGAACAGAATAAGCAAAAGTTTATAATACATTATTTGGAAAACTCGTCACCCCTATCCCTCTGAAGACTGCAGTTTGTTAAAAAACTATGTTTTATTAGTTTTGACTGCATTTTTGTCTTGTTTTACTTTCTACTCAAAAACGCTCTATTTTGAAGAGTTTCACTTAAAAATACTGACAATCTGGAGGTCTTTTACGAGAAAAATTACAAGATAAATTTATAGCTTCGTAGAAATCTTACAAAAACTTTTTCTAGCGTCGAATTCGGGACAGAAACGAAAATAACTTTATCCGGTTTTTTTCCTGAAGATCATTAATTTCGCAAAGACCAATCACAAAACTAAAAGTTTATAATCAAAAGCGCAAAAAAACTATTATTTTCTGATGCTTTTCGTCTTTTCTCACAATCATTATTATCTTGAAAACATTTATCACAATTATCTTGAAAAAAACGATCAGAGAGCAAAAGTGTAAAAAGAAAGATTTGTAAAAGTTGCCACCCTCATTGCTCTGAATAATTTGTTTTTTTTTAATTCCGATTTCTTCGCTTTTATGTCAAGATTTCTAAGCAAAATACTCTAAACAGAATAACGCGTTTTTCCCTAATGTTTTACTGTAATATAATGGCAAACTGACAATATTTTATGGCTTGTTGCGCCAACTCAACGCACCGTCTCAGTAACTCAGTTGCGTTGTTGGGAACATGTTGATGATTTTTGCTTTTTCTAGTTGTTAAAATTCCAGTCTCGAGTCTCGTAAAGCTTTGATCCGCTTTAATAAATAGCGTATTACTCATTAATCAATGAGTTGTAACTCATTAACTCACAGAGCGGCAACAACTCAAAAGCGCGACTCAACACAGTGTTACCCAGGCCTACCGTTAAACTCTCCTACCCAGCTGGTGACTGAACAGCAAAAGTAGTTTTTGGAAAACATTTGCAGATTTGATTTGCGACGTCTCTCTGTACTCTGTTAATTTTTGTTTAGTTTAAAAACAATCGCTTATAAGTCATCCATATCATCCATATGACTGACCTCAATTTTGAATCACCCTGGATGTAACTGATAGAAATTTGATTGATAAAAACTGTTGCAGATTTATGAACTGTGCATTTATTACCTAAGTAACAAAGACCATAATATAGTGAATGCGTCTTTGGATACGCTCACTGTTTTACTTCGAAATGCACCAGATGACCTGCAAGCCAAATTAGGAAATTCGAATGGATTCAGTAGTAGCAGGATACATAAAAGTATGTCTATTACGAGCACTCGATCTTCCAGTAAGTACAAGATTTGTCAAAACGGGGACACTAAATACAAAAATACATATTTATTTTAACAATGCTGTTTAATTATGTCTTGGAATTATATTTCTAGGTCAGCTGAGTGGGGCTTATAATAACGCGTCACTTGAGGAATACTTATTTTCAGAATGCAAGCTAACGGAAACAATCGATTCTGACATTGAACACTGTTCAGTGGAATCTAGACTGTCAGTTCTCGATTTGGATGACATCATTCTTCGTGACTCAGTGGAATGTGTGACCGACCAGAGCACAGTTACTGAGGGTAAAAGCAGAAATAAAAAAATAGTTGTTAAGTTGACCAGTTCTAGTTTACTATATTTTTAGTTAATTTCTTAAAACATTCCACATCATTCCAAAGAAACAATAAAAGTTCAAACGGAAGTGATCAGTTAGATGAGCTAAAAGAACAAGTATCAGAATACAGTAGTGAAAGTACACATATATTTCCTATAGAAAAAGATGAATTATGCGTAAGTTTATTGAATTACTGTGTTAGTTCGTACAGCTCTTTTTAATAGTTTGACATTCACAACGATATTAAATTATTTTGGTCACTTAGGTCCCTTTGGTAGTTGTGTCAGGGAAAGGCGAAATCGCTGCGATCATGGAGAACTTGTATCGGAGACTATATAGTCAGTCAGTATACAGGGTTGCTCATTAGTGCGTCAAAGTGCGATATCTCAGTAAATATGAAGTTTACAAGAAAATTCGTCCAACGAAAGTTTTTCACGTTTAAAAGGTCCACATTCTAAAATTACTTTCCAATATACAGGGTGCATCATAAACGTGTGGTAGTTACCAACTCTGGTTTTTTAAATGAAACCCCCCCTTTTTTTTGTTATTTTCAGATTGGCCGTTCAATTTTAATTTATGTTTGTTTCAACCGTTTTACCTGAAAAATTTACGATTTCCGAGTT